TCTGTCACCTTCCTTTTTGTGTCCCCAGTAAGTTTTTTTTCCACCCATTCGGAAGTACCAGGGTCTCCTTCCAGAAGCTCAGGCAGCTGCTGCCAAAGGCTGTGGGGTGGGCAAAGAGCCCAAGGGACAAGTACCCAGGACACATTTCCCACTCAAACCAACTGGACAAATGCCACCGACGGCTTCTTCCAAACTGTCTTTGGCAGCCCAGCCTGTGGCCCTTTTCCTTTCACCTGCCAGGACCTATATTTCTATTTCTGTGTTTTCAAAGCCTAGAGAGGTGGAGAAACTGGAATAATTAATGATTGATTTTCAGGCACTGCCACCAGGAGGCCCCAGGGCAGGCTGTCGGCCATTTCCTGAGTGCGGGGACAGGGTTGAAATCCCATGTGGCTATGGAAGGACTGGGCAAGTCTGTGAGGGCAGAGGGTGGAGCGAAAACTGCCAGTGCCCTGAACACTCCTGCCCTCTGCAAAATGATGAAGTCGCGGCTGGAAGTTCTGCTGTGGGGCTGGCCTTCTGCCATTGACTCTCCCCCTCTCTGGGTCAACAAAAGTGAACTGCTCCCCTCACAGACACCCCTGCCCCGCTGCTACCCCCGTACCCACGCCTGCACCCACAGGCACGGGTTCACTGGCCCTTTCCTCTCCAAGGCTCATTTGGGAAAGGATTAAAGGAACCGACTTCCATAGCAAAATTTTAAAGGCATTTTAACTTTGCCCTCCTTGGACGTATTTCTCTGCCTTTGTTGTCTAATAATAATTAACTTTTGTACAGAGGTGTAGTTTTCAAAGAGCTTTCACATTCATAATTTTATTCATCCTCACAACAAAGCTATGAGGTGGGTCTGACCCTCCCCAGCTCCCCATCTGTACCCACAGCATACAGAATAGGAAACTGAGGTTCAGGCAGAAGAAATGGTCCCATTCTACATATTTAGGACTGGAACATTCACCTCTGATGCAAAGTAGAGAGCTGCTGTTTTCTTCCTGAAGGGATGCACTTTAGTCGCAACAATGGTTCATTACGTAGGGGAAGTGGCATGGTGGCAGGTAAGCAAGGAGGATTGTTGGGGGCAGTGGTCTTCCCCTGAGGCTGGCCTTCTGGGGAGTGTGTGCAGGAAAACCAGGGTACATAGGAGTAAGAGGAAGAGCTCATGGACCTACTGGAGTTCAACGGTATCAGTCACCTGAGCCAGCAGGTAGAATGACCCACCTGTGCAATGAACCACCCACTCAATAGTCAATTGAAACAGTGCAGCTTACAAAAAGACCCCCAAACCATCCCACTCCCCAACTCTAATCAGCTAGGATAACCAATTCATCCTGATTTGCCCAGGAAAGTCCCAATTTTAACTCATATCTAGGCAACACTCTTCGTTTCGTCCAGGGCAAACCAGAGAACTTTATCATCCTACCACAAGGCTAGTGCATTACAGCTGAGTCCAGAAAAGAAAGGGCATCTTTTGAAGGCTCAGCAGACCAGCATAGAATTAAACAAATCACAGAATATTATGCAAATTCAAAAACCACTGTAGTTAGGCAATTACCTAGGATTGTTGGAATGTTAAACCTGAAAGAATGCTCATTTCTACAAAGAGACACTCAGATCTGTGGCCAGATCTCTTGCATTTTTAAAGGCAAGCCAGAGTTACTCTCGCATCTACTTCTGTATTTTGATATTGGCAATGAACTACATTGTCTCAAAAAAACCCTGAGTTTAAAAAAAGTATAACTAGTTGCCAGTTGATAATACTGCCATGAAAACCTTATGGGCATCAAGCCTGAGAAGAAAAGGTGGCAAATGAGGTATTAGGTTTTTTTGTTTGTTTGTTTGTTT